TTGAAGATCTTGAGGGACACAGCGGCTCTACAATCGATCATCTTGAAGTCGGCTGTGCCCAACATAGTCTACACCGGGGAAACAGTCTTCATCACTGACCTCACTGCTACCACTCCATACCCTCTCGCCAGAGTCCACCTGGATTGTCCCTACGTGAACGGGGAAGTCCAAGTCGCCGTCAGGGAAAAGCCTTTTCCCATGCCTGGAGTGCAACTTCTCCTAGGCAACGACTTGGCAGAAGACCTGCAACCGACCAACCTGATCGTCATGGACAAACCCCAGGTGTGTAACTCTGTGCCAAGTAACCCTATTCTTGAGTATGTTCCAGCAGAGGTTCAAGAGAGTGATGAAGTTTCTCCTCCGGTTCTCGTGACCACCCGTGCACAAGCCGCACGTCCACAGCCAGCTGACTCTACTGCTACCGCTGTCCCTCAAGACCCTCAGAAACTACCCCCGCATCTGACCAAGTTGGAGTTCCGTAAGTTGCAGAGGGAAGATCTTACTTTAACACCATTGTTTTTCCAGGCTGAGACTCAACCCGACAGTATTCCTGGGTTCTTCCTAGAGAACGACTTGCTCTACCGCAGATATAGACCCAGTAAACTGAAGGAGGAGGACGATTGGGCCAACACCGAACAACTTGTGATTCCCACCAGCCTGCGGCCCACTATTCTACACCTGGCCCATGGAGCATTCTCCCACTACGGCTTCAACAAGACTTACCATGGGATTCGTCAAGACTACTACTGGCCAGGTATGGTAAATAACGTCAAACAGTACGTAAAACAGTGTCATACATGTCAGATGGCAGGCAAACCGAACGTCTCCATTCCCAGAGCACCACTGATTCCCATACAGGTGCCTGCGGAACCTTTCCACAGACTCATAATAGACTGTGTTGGTCCTTTACCTCGGACCAGTTCAGGTAACGCCTACATCCTAACCATCCTGTGTCCTACCACCAGATTTCCCATAGCAGTTCCAGTGAAGAACATCACGGCTGCTACGGTTATCAAACATCTACTGAAGATCTTCACTCAATACGGATTTCCCAGGGAGATTCAAAGTGACTGTGGCACCAACTTCACCAGTGATCTCTTCAAAAGGACACTGGAGGAGTTCAACATCAAACAGGTATTGTCCAGCCCCTATCATCCTGCTTCACAGGGTTCTCTTGAACGTAGTCATCAGACCATCAAAGCACTCTTGAAAAAGTTTTGTAGTGAAACCTCAAAGGATTGGGATAAGCAGATTGACCTAATAATGTGTATTTTCAGAAGTCTCCCCAATGAGTCCCTAGGAGTATCTCCTTATGAGATGCTCTACGGCCGTAAGTGCCGTACTCCCCTTAAGGCTTTCAAAGACTCTCTCAGAGATGCCACCTTCAGTGAGCATCAGAATGTGCCCCAGTTTCTTCAAAACCTTCAACACATTCTAGAGAGAGTCCACCGCTTTGCTCATGATAATCTATTGAAAGCCCAGGTGAGAATGAAGACTCATTACGACCAGACCAGCAAAGTAAGAAAATTCAAGCCGGGAGACTTCGTCCTTGCTTATTTCCCTATCCCAGGTTCACCTTTACAGAACAGATTTTCAGGACCCTACTGCGTCAAAGAGTGCAGGAATAATAATAATTATGTGATAGAGACTCCAGATAGGCGGCGGAAGACCCAGCTGTGCCACGTCAACCTCCTGAAGCAATATAATGGTACTCCTCCCACTGTCTTGATTAATTGTTCTACCTTCACAGAACCCTACATCCACAGTGAGACCATCCCGGCTTCTTCTCCCGAAAGCACTGACAAGGAGTCGGCGCTTTCTAATTCCAAAATCCTTAATGATCTTCCCAAATGCTTTCAGGATAATACTCGTGCTCCTATGCCCTCTTCTAATTCCACTCTCACCTCGTCAGATAAGCCCTACATCCTCCATGTCGACGCCAATGGTACCGACGATGGTGGTGTCGTGATGCAGCAACGAGGCGAGAAGAATACACCTGTCGGCGACTACTGCTACAAGGAACGACGGAACAATTGGCAAGGAGCTACTCTTCCTCATCCTGAAGCTTCAGCACTTCACTCCACACCTGAAAAGTGCTCGGTCCACCATCAATACGGACCACACCACCCTACACCTCCTGCAGCACGCCCACTTCTCATCTCAACGTCTTCTACTATGGGCTTGCTAACTGCAGAAATTCAACCTGGAGACACGCTATACCAAGAGTCTGACAACATCTTAGCCCATGATATCTCCAGAGTTTATGAAGTAGAAGCAACTCCATCCATTACTCCACCACATAACGACGTACTTCTTCCAGAACCGCAGGCTTCGGGGGAGAGTTGTGACGATAATCTCCTTCAAGAGATTGAGCCTGCTCTTCCCTCCAAAATTACGTCTTCACAACTATATAAAAGACTATGGAAGAAATGTCCAACAACGACAACAAACACCAGCAAGGCTTGCCAGGGTGAGCAGAAACGTATGCAGCCCGCCACCTGTTCGGACCCAAATCACCAAACTACCCGTTGATCGCTACGGCTCCGCTGATTGGTCGCCGGTCTGGCTGCACCTGCACTCGCCCCCCAATACTACCCGATGTCTGGGGTCGCCCCAACATCAGTCTTCAGAATGTTCCGTGCTTTCGTAGCCAGCACTCCTCCCAGCTAGACTCTAGAGTGTACTGAGAGAGGTGGTGGCTTTAAGCCAATATTCCAGCACCTCCCACTTAACTTTTGTGTTGCACTTCTTATTATTTTGCCTTAACGTAACTTTCATTGTGTCATTTCAGTATTCTTATTATTTTGATTCATTGATTTTATTATACATATTTGTTTGTGCATTATTTTCATGTTTTGATTTATTTAACGTAATTAAAATTTCATTGTTAAAGTTTTACTTGTGTTTTGTGTGTCTTCTCCTTACCTTACCACAGACGAAGTTCCAGTTTTTCTATTTTTTTTTATAACTATGTGACGAGGCCATACCCCTAGCCTTAAACAGCCGAACACCAACGCGTTACCGTCACAATATATATATATATATATATATATATATATATATATATATATATATATATATATATATATATATATATATATATATATATATATATATATATATATATATATATATATAAACACGTGTTTTGATCAGCCACGTCACATGCAACACTAATATCCCAATGCTATTTATGCATTGATTTGCATATACACACAAAAAATGTATACCTCAAACACGAAGCCGAAACTCATGTTGCAAAACATATGATCTATGTATAACAGGTGGCTTAATGATCCATGTATAATACCTGACTTAATGAGCAATCAGTTACAATCTCATTTGCGATACGAGTTTTTGGCCTCATGAATGAGGAAATAGAGTAAGAAAAAAAAATAGGGACATCCTAATGTGCTTGTCAATCATGTTTTCCCATTTCATGTTGGGACAGTACATAGCTTCCATTATGACTTGAATTATTTAATAAGGAATAACAAGGTAACCTTTTTCATACACAAAACTTCATCCTGTCACGTCACTGGCCACCACACAAACACATCAACAAAACCCTTTGTTCACGTCTAACGTCTTGCAATAATTGCATAAATTAAGTCAAGAAGATTACACACAAGACCTCCACATTCACTTAAGACAAGTCAACCCTTCCCCTCTACTGAGAATAATCCCATTTTCTCTCCTTTACATGACTAATTTCCTAATCTTTTTATCCTTGACCGAAACGTCGTCTTACATTTCGTGATAACTACATAATTTATCAATTAAAACAAGATTATTTGGTCTCTCCTTATCGTGGAGAGAATATTTATTCTCTCCTTAATTTTTAATTATTATGACTATGTGAAGAACAAAATGAAGAAATTATTTGCTGATAAATAATCTTCGATATATGTATATATAGGACGAAAAATGACCACTTTGAGTGGCCAAGGTATTCAAGGGTTCACTACTAGTGTTAAGTGTCTAGTGTAGGGACACTTACCAGGGCTTACTATCCGGGTGGTGTACTATCCGACTCTCTTCCCCCCCTATTGCTAGTAGGGTGGATGACTATTCGGGCCTCCCCTCCTCTCCCATTAGCCCATCACACACACACACTTTGCCTCGCACTAATGGTCCCCAGCCACTGCCCATTTGCATACCATTAACCAGATGCGCGCCTCTCCAACGCTGGGAAATGATGGGTCTCCTCCCACCTTTCTTGTCCGAGCAACACGTCAGTGTGCGAGACGCCCGATAACAAGTGCTTGTGTGAGAACACAGGTGAAGCGTGGGAAGGTTTCCGGAGGTTCCAAACCTGCTTCTTTTCAGTCTCTGTGGTGTAGTGGTAAGACACTCGCCTGGCGTTCCGCGAGCGCTATGTCATGGGTTCGTATCCTGGCCGGGGAGGATTTACTGGGCGCAATTCCTTAACTGTAGCCTCTGTTTAACGCAACAGTAAAATGTGTACTTGGATGAAAAAACGATTCTTCGCGGCAGGGGATCGTATTCCAGGGACCTGCCCGAAACGCTACGCGTACTAGTGGCTGTACAAGAATGTAACAACTCTTTGTATATATCTCAAAAAAAAAAATTAATCCTAACGGAGATGATGAAATGCTCACAGACCAAGGATTAACTAGGGAATCCCCAGGGCAGGCTGGTCTAATGGTGGCTGGCCCCAGGGCAGGCTTACCCCTGGGAAAGCTGGCCCCAGATACGGGTGGGCCCCGGGAAAGGTGGCCCCAGATACTGGTGGGCCCCGGGAAAGCTGGCCCCAGATACTGGTGGGCCCCGGGAAAGGTGGCCCCCCAGGCCAGACTAGACCCAGTGAAGGTTTTGAATGTAGAAAACTCCCAATCGTTAACAGGTCAGCAGATATATAGCTTTTATTTATCGAGCACCGTTAAAAATAACGAAAATTAAACAGTTCGGTTCAATGACCTATACGTTAATAAGTGCCAAATGTCGGGGAGTTGATTTGCTTGATTGAAAACTGGTACATGTCGTACGGGTCACGCCCAGAGCCCCGGGGTCACGGCCAGAGCCCCGGGGTCCCGGCCAGAGCCCCGGGGTCACGGCCAGAGCCCCGGGGTCCCGGCCAGAGCCCCGGGGTCACGGCCAGAGCCCCGGGGTCACGGCCAGAGCCCCGGGGTCCCGGCCAGAGCCCCGGGGTCACGGCCAGAGCCCCGGGGTCCCGGCCAGAGCCCCGGGGTCACGGCCAGAGCCCCGGGGTCACGGCCAGAGCCCCGGGGTCCCGGCCAGAGCCCCGGGGTCACGGCCAGAGCCCCGGGGTCACGGCCAGAGCCCCGGGGTCACGCCCAGAGCCCCGGGGTCACGGCCAGAGCCCCGGGGTCACGGCCAGAGCCCCGGGGTCACGCCCAGAGCCCCGGGGTCACGGCCAGAGCCCCGGGTCACGCCCAGAGCCCCGGGGTCACGCCCAGAGCCCCGGGGTCACGCCCAGAGCTCCGGGTAACGCCCAGAGCCCCGGGGTCACGCCCAGAGCCCCGGGGTCACGCCCAGAGCCCCGGGGTCACGCCCAGAGCCCCGGGGTCACGCCCAGAGCCCCGGGGTCACGCCCAGAGCCCCGGGGTCACGCCCAGAGCCCCGGGGTCACGCCCAGAGCCCCGGGGTCACGCCCAGAGCCCCGGGGTCACGTCCAGAGCCCCGGGGTCACGCCCAGAGCCCCCGGATCACGCCCAGGGACTTCATTATTCCTTTCTCCCATACTTATATTCCTTTCCCTTCTCTCATCTCCCTTTCTCCCACACTTCCCACGTACACCCTACCCTTCCCAGTCTCTACTCTTGCTTCTCTCCCTCTCAGCTTACTTCAATTCCATCTTTCCCGTCTGTCCCGTGTATGAACTGTCCGTCGCCTCTTCTTCCCCTCCCTCCACCTCTCTCCCTTCCCTCTCCTCTCCCAGCCTCCCGGACACACGCTGCACCTGGAAAAGGTGACGACAAAAAGGGTAGGAAGCCTTTGATGACCTCAGTGTGTGAGTGAATTATTGGAGTCTCGATGAAACAATTTTCGTGTAAGTCAGGGAGTAGTCTGGATGCTGCAGTAATAATGAGAGAGAGAGAGAGAGAGAGAGAGAGAGAGAGAGAGAGAGAGAGAGAGAGAGAGAGAGAGAGAGAGAGAGAGAGAGAGAGAGAGAGAGAGAGAGAGAGAGAGAGATCCATTTCCAACAACCTTCCATTAAATATATTAAATTTCTTAACGATTATGCAAACCCCTTTTTTATCTGTTTATATTTATTATTTTGTATCACTACATGAAAGGAATATATGAGTGGTTGCGGAAGGTGAGAGAGGGAGAGAGAAAGGGAGGGAGGGAGGGAAGGGAGGGAGAGACATGAGAAGGAAAAGCGCAGAAAAGGGTGAGAAAGGTAAACAAAGAGATAGGGTGGGTGGAAGTGATAGAAGAGAGAGAGAGAGAGAGAGAGAGAGAGAGAGAAAGAGAGAGGGTGGGGTGGGGGGCAAGTGAGAGGGAACAGACGAAATAAGGAATAAGAAAGAGTGAGAATAATGAGGAGAGAGAGAGAGAGAGAGAGAGAGGCGAAAAGATATTAGGTGAATGGGTGAAATGAGCGGAGAAGGAAAGTGTGAAGATGGAAAACAAAGAAGAAAAATAAGATGAAAAGTTGGGGAAAAGTGGAAGAGAAGAAGGAAAGAGGAACAATATAAAAGGGTAAAACAGGGAGAGAAACGTGGAAGAGAGAGAGAGAGAGAGGAAGGAAGCAGAGGGGAAAATGATAGATATGCGGAAGGAGAAGAAAAGACAAAATATTATAGGAAATGAAAAGGAAAAACAGAAGTGGAAAGAGAAACGGAAGGAGGATGAAAGAGAGGGAGAGAGAGAGAGAGAGAGAGAGAGAGAGAGAGAGAGAGAGAGAGAGAGAGAGAGAGAGAGAGAGAGAGAGAGAGAGAGAGAGAGAGAGGGAGGGAAAGAGGGGAAAGAAGGAAAGAATGAGGGACTTTAAGGGGTATTAATATAAGTGAGGGGAAGGGAGTGTGAGGGGACGAGTGAGGGGGAGAGAAAATTAATTACTTCACATGATGGGAAGAATATCGTATAAACCTCACGTCACGGACAGGCGAGAAAATATACTGTGATATACTCACTCTATCACCCAGGGCTTAATACAACACGCGGGTATATACATCTTCAATATACTGGCCGATACCCGATGGTATGAGGCGCGGTGTACCTCCCACTCCACCGTCCTGTTCAAGCAGTACCTCCCGCTCAAGTGGAACCTCCCAGTCCTCTACCTCAAGCGGCCAGTATGCAAGCAATACCCTGTACTCTAGCTCCGTCTTTAAGTTGATCTCCAACTCCAGCGCTGTGTCTAAGCGATGTCTCACACTCGAGCGATATCTTTAAGAAGAACCTTGCACTCAAGCACCGAGTACAAGCGATACCTGCCACTTGAATCTAGGTTCCAGAAGGGAGCATACGATTTTTATTGGTAATTTCCTGTGTGTATTAATTTTTTCTCCTTTTGTATTTGATATATTCTACAATTCACGGTTTATAGCTATATCTATAAAATAAAATGTCTGTCCGTTAGGCCCCAGATATTTCGCGATAACCTCACCCAATTTTTCACAGTAGTTGCTGTTGGGTACATGCCCAACATGGGTGGGTCGGGATGGGCATAACTGCAAATATTAGCACTTCTCTCTCTCTCTCTCTCTCTCTCTCTCTCTCTCTCTCTCTCTCTCTCTCTCTCTCTCTCTCTCTCTCTCTCTCTCTCTCTCTCTCTCTCTCTCTCTCTGTGCGCATAAAGTTCTCTGGACCTGACAGCGTTAACAAGCCGAGAATGAAGCGCTTTGATGACTGATGGAACAGAGAAGAGTATTCTTCCTATCCAGCAGGTACTAGAGAAGGGTTCAGAACCTGTGTGGGATTCGTCTCTTCTTGTGTGATCCATTTCCATTATATTCCTTTTAATTGCCATTATATTCCTTTTAATTATATTTTTGTATGCTTTTTTAATGTGTTGTGCATGAGGAACACTGAGTGTTGAGTGTTAGCGTGGCAGTGTTAAGAACACTGTTCAGTTGTTCTCATATAACATTCAGTTCTCTCCCTTCTCTTCGGCTCTTTGGTCCCGCCTTCTAACTATCAATCAACTGGTGTAGAGATTCCTGAGCCTATTAGGCTCTATCGTGTCTACATTTGAAACTGTGTATGGAGTCTGCCTGTGTGTGTGTGTGTGTGGTGTTTGTGTGTGTGTGTGTGTGTGTGTGTGTGTGTGTGTGTGTGTGTGTGTGTGTGTGTGTGTGTGTGTGTGTGTGTGTGTGTGTGTGTTTAACTACCCCCCCCCCTAATATCTCCCCTTTCACTTTCATGCCTTTCCGCCGGTAAAACGGACCAGAGTTCTCCATTACAGAGCCCTCCCCTCGACCACAATGGGGCCGGGATGTCTCCATTCCACCACCTGCCCTTTTCCTCCTTATTATTTCATAACGACATTTATCTCTTGTCATCTTTCTCTTCTACATCCGACTGCTATATGTTTACCTTTCCGTTCCTACTGATCGCTTCTTGTGCTGTTCCTCCTTATCCTGCTTCTCTCTTCCTCATCCTCTCTCTCTCTCCTTTTTTATAAGAAAGGCGTCTTATCGACGCCTTTCCTTTTTCTTTTCCTGCAAGACGTGCACATGCCGCAAGTCAACTGATTAGGTCTAGCTCCTAGCCCAAAGCAGAAGGCAGAAGCGAGTTGACAATTGTCAACTGCCAGTTGTCACTGTCACTTCTCACTTCAGAAGTGAAGTTGTCAGAAGTTGTCAGTTGTCACTTCTGCCAGTTGTCACTGGCAGAAGCGAGTTGACAATTGCAAGGGTTTCCCAAAGCTTTGCAACTGCAATCTCTTAGGTCAATATCACCTAACAAATACAGAACACAGTCTTAAGAACAATCTCTTAGGTCAATATCACCTAACAAATACAGAACACAGTCTTAAGAACAATCTCTTAGGTCAATGTCACCTAACAAATACAGAACACAGTCTTAAGAACAATCTCTTAGGTCAATATCACCTAACAAATACAGAACACAGTCTTAAGAACAATCTCTTAGGTCAATGTCACCTAACAAATACAGAACACAGTCTTAAGAACAATCTCTTAGGTCAATGTCACCTAACAAATACAGAACACAGTCTTAAGAACAATCTCTTAGGTCAATATCACCTAACAAATACAGAACACAGTCTTAAGAACAATCTCTTAGGTCAATGTCACCTAACAAATACAGAACACAGTCTTAAGAACAATCTCTTAGGTCAATATCACCTAACAAATACAGAACACAGTCTTAAGAACAATCTCTTAGGTCAATGTCACCTAACAAATACAGAACACAGTCTTAAGAACAATCTCTTAGGTCAATGTCACCTAACAAATACAGAACACAGTCTTAAGAACAAAACATTTCCTTGCAAATAAATGTTAAAAAAAACACACAAAATCCTGAGGTCAACTTAACAAGAATCAGAAATTTAACAGCATTCTTAGCCACATATCACAGAATATCACCTAATTGTGATATTAGGTGATATCTCAGAATGACGGTATCCAACGATCCCCCTAGAAGGGGAACATAGAGCAGAGAGGCGGGGCCCAGGAGCCGAGTGCGTAGCGTCAGCACAATTTGTCAGCAAGCAGTTGGAGATCGGATGAGCTGTTTCTTCCATGTCGCTCTCCAGTTAAAGTAGGGGGATAGTTGGCTCTTGATAAAATAGGGGAAAGATGGTTATAAAATCAAATGCAAATATCTCTCTCTCTCTCTCTCTCTCTCTCTCTCTCTCTCTCTCTCTCTCTCTCTCTCTCTCTCTCTCTCTCTCTCTCTCTCTCTCTCTCTCTCTCTCTCTCTCTCTATCTATATATATATATATATATATATATATATATATATATATATATATATATATATATATATATATATATATATATATATATATATAAAGCGAAATGTTGACGTACAAAAGAAACAATGGAAACTGTAGAGATGGAAAAATACTGAGGAGTAGCTTAGATACACAAAAGATTTCAAGCCATTATACTTGTAGCCCAGACCCTATCCATACCCTTAACTGGCAGTAGGCAGAGTTAATAGTCAGGATGACGTCAGAATTTGATTTAAAGGTGACATTAAGTGACATCTTAGGAAAGGCGCCTATTGAGACTTAATGGTGACCTAGCGATTCCGAAGGAAAAAATTCGACAATTTGGGCGAAAAGTCAAATGAGTCCAGGAAATCCTGAAAGAAGAGGATTGAGAAGAGAACTTGAGGTAAAGAGTCTCCAGAGAGAGAAGATAGGCTTTGGTTCCTCTTAGAGAAGCGTTGACCTAAGTTACCAGTCCTTTGTGACCTCCATGTGACCTTGAACGTGGTGCCTTGAAGAGTTGCCAATCCCAGCCATCGTAGCGCCCGCCTAAGTACCTCTCGACGATCGATAACCTCCAGAGATATTCACTGTTTTTTTTACGAAATCGCAAACAAATTTCTCCGCGCATCAGACGCTTATGCGAGTTTGTAATTCGCATTTTATACCAACATTATCCATTCTTCGTATGCGGCGGCTGTACCCGGACTGGTCCCGGAGGAGACTCTTAGTCTCACTGATCTCATGTTAAGTTGAAACTTAAAGTAGTTTTGTTATCACTGAAGTACTTTCCTTCTCTTCTTGCCCTTGTTCTCGCGTTCTTCTGACCTTGATGAGTCTGCCATCAGACTCAAGGTCCGTTTTCTTGTTTAATCCCCTTTTATGCTCACATTTTCTATCATGTAGAAATATCTGACAGAAAGTTTCAGAAGGATAACTGAGAGACCTGGTACCGTGAGGCGTAGGTTATCGTATATCAGGAGTGGTACATTTACCTTCATGTCACTTGAAACATATTTTGACATGCTATAATAAAGTGCTTCGTTAAAGGGCATGATGACTGGTTAAAAAGAAAACGGGTATGGTATTAACGAGGGGTGACTTAACCGGCAGACATTAGTCTTTTTTTTTTTTGTTTAATCGGACTCGGTCCCTTCTATCTGATTATCCTTGTTAGTTTTGTTCCTCCTCTACTCTGTCTCTTCTCCTCCCCTCTTCCTATCATCATTCACTAATAACCTTAACATGTCTCCTATCCCATCCTTCCTCTCGTACTCACTCACCTCTTTCACTCTTTATCACTCCTCCAGCTCCCCCCTCCCATGCCATCGACCCCCTTCCCCCTCCCTGGCACCATCCCAGCCATTCCTGCCCCTGGTGATGTCTGCCTGGCACAAATATGTAAATTTCCTATCGACATCTTGCACATAGTCTCAGCAGGCCGTCGTCACGTGAACCTATATATATATATATATATATATATATATATATATATATATATATATATATATATATATATATATATATATATATATATATATATATATATATATATATATATATCCATATGTATATATATCCATATGTATATATATCCATATGTATATATATCCATATGTATATATATGACAGTGTCAGACCACGGAGGAAGAATTGAAACTTCCTTAAGTACTTTCGTATATCAATACATCTTCAGAAAGAATGACGGTGAAGGGATTGAAGGATATTACGATTACATAGTACTTGGAATGGATTAGAATGAAGGGTAGGACTGAGGAGAGGAATGGTTCTCAACCACTTGAGAACCCAATGGTCAATCTCAATGGTCGGGGATTGAACGTCGACCTGCAAGAAGCGAGACGGTCGCCCTACCGTCCAGTCCAAGTGGCCAGTCCAATAGTCTTGATAGACTACTTTCCATCTGGTCAGTAGTCACATATGCTATTCACACTTCAGCGTGCATAGTGGGATCTAAATGCGTATGTGTACCTGGCAACATGACCGCAATTCACATTTGTAAAAAAGCATGTACATACACACAACCCTCAAAGAAAGAAAACCCTCCAGCGCAAATCCTTCTATCAGAAACCCCTCAATCGTAAATCCCTCCACCGTAAATCCCTCCAATCCCAACACTCTTCAAGTCCACGAACGCCCAAAACAGCCTCGAACGAAAGGCGGTAAGCAGCGCATTGTCTCGCGAGATCGAGCTGCTGATTCTTCCCGCTCAAGACGACTAAAGTCGCGAGCGAATAACAACTCAGCGAAAACCAGATGATCGCAAAGGCGAGTTCCGGAAATTGTTCTCGTGGAAATATTGGCGCCCGGCTTGTGGCTAGTAAATATTGGCGCCCGGCTTGTGGTTAGTAAATATTGGCGCCCGGCTTGTGGCTAGTAAATATTGGCGCCCGGCTTGTGGTTAGTAAATATTGGCGCCCGGCTTGTGGCTAGTAAATATTGGCGCCCGGCTTGTGGCTAGTAAATATTGGCGCCCGGCTTGTGGTTAGTAAATATTGGCGCCCGGCTTGTGGTTAGTAAATATTGGCGCCCGGCTTGTGGTTAGTAAATATTGGCGCCCGGCTTGTGGTTAGTAAATATTGGCGCCCGGCTTGTGGTTAGTAAATATTGGCGCCCGGCTTGTGGTTAGTAAATATTGGCGCCCGGCTTGTGGTTAGTAAATATTGGCGCCCGGCTTGTGGTTAGTAAATATTGGCGCCCGGCTTGTGGCTAGTATATATTGGCGCCAGGCTTGTGGCTAGTAAATATTGGCGCCCGGCTTGTGGCTAGTAAATATTGGCGCCCGGCTTGTGGCTTGTAAATATTGGCGCCCGGCTTGTGGCTAGTAAATATTGGCGCCCGGCTTGTGGCTAGTAAATATTGGCGCCCGGCTTGTGGCTAGTAAATATTGGCGCCCGGCTTGTGGCTAGTAAATATTGGCGCCCGGCTTGTGGCAAGTAAATATTGGCGCCCGGCTTGTGGCTAGTAAATATTGGCGCCCGGCTTGTGGCTAGTAAATACTGGCGCCCGGCTTGTGGCTAGTAAATATTGGCGCCCGGCTTGTGGCTAGTAAATACTGGCGCCCGGCTTGTGGCTAGTAAATATTGGCGCCCGGCTTGTGGCTAGTAAATACTGGCGCCCGGCTTGTGGCTAGTAAATACTGGCGCCCGGCTTGTGGCTTGTAAACATGAACGCCCGTCTTGCGGCTGGCAAAGCACCAACACATAACTTATTGACAGCCTGTGTTATGTTTTGAAACATGTACATCTAGCAAGATGTGAAATGTTTACGCGAGTGAGACGCAGCGAGTGGGACGCAGACACCGCAGCATTCAGCGAGTGGGACGCAGACACCGCAGCATTCAGCGAGTGGGACGCAGACACCGCAGCATTCAGCGAGTGGGACGCAGACACCGCAGCATGCAAGCGCTGGTAAACAGCTGGCCTGCAGGCACAAACAGCAGGAAATGTCTGCAGTCACTTCAAATACATATTGTTCCGGCACGCATGTTAATCATTATTGTTTGCACGTACTTGGGAAATACCTATTGCTTGCACGTACTTGGAAAATGCATATGGCTCGTACGTACTTGGGAAGATAAATTGTATAAAAAGGCTGAGAACCTTTTCTAAACACGTGAAAAAAACACCTTGTTTACAATAAAAAAAGGAAAAAACTTTGGGGCAGTTGCTTGCATATCCAGGAGCCCATTACAGCAACACACACACACACACACACACACACACACACACACACACATGCTGGGAAGACGGGACACCACGAGCGTAGCTCTCATCCTGTAACTACACTTAGGTAATTACACACACACACACGCACACACACACACACACACAGCACATATCAAGCGGATAACATCAGCGGCATATGCCAGGCTGGCCAACATACGAACGGCATTCAGAAACTTGTGTAAAGAATCATTCAGAACTTTGTATACCACATATGTCAGGCCAATCCTGGAGTATGCAGCCCCAGCATGGAGTCCATATCTAGTCAAGGATAAGACTAAACTGGAAAAGGTTCAAAGGTTTGCCACCAGACTAGTACCCGAGCTGAGAGGTATGAGCTACGAGGAGAGACTACGGGAATTAAACCTCACTTCGCTGGAAGACAGAAGAGTTAGGGGGGACATGATCACCACATTCAAGATTCTGAAGGGGATTGATAGGGTAGATAAAGACAGTCTATTTAACACAAGGGGAACACGCACAAGGGGACACAGGTGGAAACTGAGTGCCCAAATGAGCCACAGAGATATTAGAAAGAACTTTTTTAGTGTCAGAGTGGTTGACAAATGGAATGCATTAGGAAGTGATGTGGTGGAGGCTGACTCCATACACAGTTTCAAGTGTAGATATGACAGAGCCCGATAGGTTCATGAATCTGTACACCTGTTGATTGACGGTTGAGAGGCGGGACCAAAGAGCCAGAGCTCAACCCCCGCAAACACAACTAGGTGAGTACAACTAGGTGAGTACACACACACACACACACACACACACACACACACACACACACACACACACACACACACACACACACACACACACACACACATGCTGGGAAGACGGGACACCACGAGCGTAGCTCTCATCCTGTAACTACACTTAGGTAATTACACACACACACACACACACACACACACACACACACACACACACACACACACACACTCACACACACACACACACACACACACACACACACACACACACAGTCGTCCGGGGTAGCATGTCCAGCCTACATCACTCTATTTAATAATGTTACAAAAATTTTAACTGCAGTTTTATTGCACAAGTTAATTTGTATCTGTTAGCCAATGAGAATTCAATTGCCTTTCCTTCCGTATCGATGGTATATGGTTCCTTAGAAATAAAAACATATATATGTTTTGGTTCCGGTTACTCGCAAATTATTAGTTCTGTTTATCCAAGAAACTTTATTTTGGTGTATGAAGAGAAGATGTTTTTTTCCCTGCCAGTGATGAACTTCATAGAACTGTTTAAACAGGAAATTTTTTATATCTATAAAGCAGTCTTTCATGCAATCGTTTATCTAGAGTGTGTCTAGAATAAGTGTGTCACACTTATATATGTCTAGAATAAGTGTGTCACACTTATAAATGTCTAGAATAAATGTGTCACACTTATATATATCCAGAGTAAGTGTGTCACACTTATATATGTCTAGAATAAGTGTGTCACTCTTATAAATGTCTAGAATAAGTGTGTCACACTTATATATGTCTAGAATAAGTGTGTCACTTATAAATGTCTAGAATAAATGTGTCACACTTATAAATGTCTAGAATAACTGTTTCACACTTAAAAATGTTTAGAATAAATGTGTCACACTTAAAATTTAATGTCTAGATGTCTCCTTGTAAGTTCAGTATAGCTGTGTCAGTTCAACAATGTATTCCTGAAGAGGTCCTCCATTGCTGACGAGACGTCGAACAATAAAAATGGTAAGGTTAAGTGATCAAGTGTTTCTTCACCCTCCAGATAGTAGAAAATATCTGAGTAAAATAGAAAATATCCAAAAGAAAATGAATAGGTCACAATTCTGCTGTGTTTAATGGCATGTGTATTAAAGAAAACCTGCTCCAAAAATATACCAATATATAATTTATACTACGATATAAATATACTTATATATATATATATATATTATGTCTACTTTTCTCAAAATATCTTTTAATGTGACCTTCTTTTATCTATATGAAATTGTAATAGATACACTGAAATTTATTTTTCTCTGATATCTGGAAACTATTGGAAAATCCTTTTTGGAAATAATTAAGCTCATTAATATGCGATTATATAAACCAGAGTCAATAAAATTCTTCTTAATAAATGCAGGTTTTCGGTAATTACTTTTAACGAGATAGGAAATGAGAATGTAATTAATATTTGATAAAGGTTCCGGGGAGATTATCAATTGGGCTTCGTTGTGCAGGTGTTATCCCAGTGGTAGTTGTTATGTGGTGTCTTAGCATATATTTAACACATATTTTTTATGTGTTCGTGTTTCAGTGTAAACATTTACATTTAATAAATATTATTTTCTATATGAGAAATTATTTTTATTGCACCCTGTATGCATATATATATATATATATATATATATATATATATATATATATATATATATATATATATATATATATATATGCAACAATGATCACAAAAACACTGATCCAAGTATGCAGAATAACCACATATGAAAAATAGAAAAAAAGGCCTTCCTTATAGGCCTTCTGCAGTTACCTTCTTTCTTATAATTCCTTTCCTCCACTTATTTTTGGTGGTCAGGTGATCTGCCCAGGCGGATATAAAGGTCTGATCAGCAAACTTATCTTCATTCTACTTTGCTCTGATGAAGGCGAATTAGCCGAAAACGCGTTAAGCATTTTCTATTTTTCATATGTGGTTATTCTGCATATATATATATATATATATATATATATATATATATATATATATATATATATATATATATATTTTATTAAATATGACCGAAAAAGTAAGATTAATAATTCTAACACGAATTTTCTCAATCTTTCGTACATTATGCTTCACTGTTGGAGGTAAATCAAAAATCACTTCTCCAAAATTCATTTTTATTTCTAGTCTGACGCGACACGGGCGCGTTTCGTAAAACTTATTACATTTTCAAAGACTTCACAAATACACAACTGATTAGAACTTGCGTTTCCCTGATTTTATATCTACATTTGAGTGAGGTGGGAAGGGTGATGTGGCATTACATTTGAGTGAGGTGGGAAGGATGATGTGGCATTAGAGGATATTAATAGGGTATTAAAAGTATCAACACAAGACAGAACACGAAACAATGGATATTGAATAGGAGTGTTTGTAGAAAGCCTATTGGTCCATATTTCTTGATGCTTCTATATTGGAGCGGAGTCTTGAGGTGGGTAGAATATAGTTGTGCAATAATTGGCTGTTGATTGCTGGTGTTGACTTCTTGATGTGTAGTGCCTCGCAAACGTCAAGCCGCCTGCTATCGCTGTATCTATCGATGATTTCTGTGTTGTTTACTAGGATTTCTCTGGCGATGGTTTGGTTATGGGAAGAGATTATATGTTCCTTAATGGAGCCCTGTTGTTTATGCATCGTTAAACGCCTAGAAAACCCTTCCCACCTCACTCAAATGTAGATATAAAATCAGGGAAACGCAAGTTCTAATCAGTTGTGTATTTGTGAAGTCTTTGAAAATGTAATAAGTTTTACGAAACGCGCCCGTGTCGCGTCAGACTAGAAATAAAAATGAATTTTGGAGAAGTGATTTTTGATTTACCTCCAACAGTGAAGCATAATGTACGAAAGATTGAGAAAATTCGTGTTAGAATTATTAATCTTACTTTTTCGGTCATATTTAATAAAATATGTCTACAGGAAAGACTGCTACCAAAATATACTAATATATATATATATATATATATATATATATATATATATATATTTTATATATATATATAAAATAATAATTTTATATATATATATAATTTCCCATTTTGCCTTTTACTCCTGTAAATATTTTAATGTGGTTGAAATTCCTTTGAGTGAATTAATGAGACATGAACGAATATATACAAGCTCAATTTTAATATAACAAATTAGTGGTATCTGTTTATTTTGGGGTATTTTTAGGGTGCTTGAAATATATGTTTAAGGATTTTTTCAAGCATTAATTATATTCATAATTGGAGATAATTTCCTGTGTGTGTCTATTGTACCTAGAGGGGGGGGAGGTAAAATAGACACACTTCTATTGTTATTGCTTCTAAGTGCGTTAGGTGACGTATTTATACAACATTCACTCTTTGTGTGTGTTTTGTGTGGTGATCTAGTCATGCAACATTCACTCACTGTAAACACATTATTCTTGTCATGCAACATTCACTCACTGTAAACACATTATTCTTGTCATGCAACATTCACTCACTGTAAACACATTATTCTTGTCATGCAACATTCAATTATTATGAGTACACTTCCTCCCCTCCACTGAGTTGTTTGTATTCAGTTCTTGTCAGCATCTGAGAGTCCTTTGGAAATAAAACTTACTATTCGTGAAACAAACTCCAATAAGTGAACGCCCGAGCAGTAGTGACTCCTTTAGATCTCAACACTTACCAAGCAGCATATGGAATTCAGGCCCTCTGATCCTGCACGTTTAACTGTATTTCATTCAAAGTGTTACAAAGTGTTACAAGGCCATCACTTGTGATACACGTAAAGTTAAAATATAGGTAATGGTTTTCTAACACTTGACAGCCATTGAAGGAAATAGTATCAAACGAACAAGGTCAGAGGCTTAATTACCAACTGTTAAAGCCATCAACGTTAATTGCCATCGACCTGCCCGAAACGCTTTGCGTAATAGTGGCTTTAGGCACTGTATGTACTAGCTCTATCTATAAATCCATCAATATTTGTATCATACTTTATATGTATGTACTTTACCTGAATAAACATTTGAATTTTTTTAATTTTTGAATAGATGGACTCCAAAACAATTCCCCTGAATAGATGCAAAAATACCTAAATTAAAGTCTTAAATTTTTGTAGAGACGAAAAAAGATTTCCCCTTAATGGTCTTACAGATATCTGAAACTATTCCCGTTAATTATTGATCATTACTGATAATCATTGATCATCTTTTCTCTACACCTGATCTTCCATATCTTGAGGTAAAATCTTGAGATGATTTCGGGGCTTTTAGTGTCCCGCGGCCCGGTCCTTGACCAGGCCTCCACCCCCAAGAAGCAGCCCGTGACAGCTGACTAACACCCAGGTACCTATTTTACTGCTAGGTAACAGGGGCATAGGGTGAAAGAAACTCTGCCCATTGTTTCTCGCCGGCGCCTGGGATCGAACCCAGGACCACAGGATCATAAGTCCAGCGTGCTGTCCGCTCGGCCGACCGGCTCCCAATACAGACAAGCACTGCTCACGATCGTCACTATCAACACAACAGCCTTCCTACTCACTATACCTTCACTATACACGACCGTCGAGAAGATCAACATTGCACAGTAGTTGAGCCAAGAGTCATCAAGCATTTACGTGTCCACTTACGAAACCTGTACATCTTTCCTCAATCATAGTGGCCAAGCTTGTATTTATTAAGGAGCTTACGAGCTCGGAAGTACCTACGATCTCGACCGGAGGTACGTAAATTGCGTTCGAGAATGAAAGTCGAGAACGTACGAATTGCAGAATTACGATCTTAGTAAACAGTTGAATAATACAAAGTCGCTATGAACGAGGAAAGATGGACAGGTTTCGTAAATGGAGAGGCAAATGATTGAGGAATTGAACTCAAACCTCATAGGGGAGGTAATTTTTACCCGAAGACCGTATTCTTCTGAGTGAACGATGGCTGCTTGACCTAAAGACTGACCTATGCAGGAGTACGCCAGTTCCCACTGTGGTGCCGCTGTTTCGTTAAAATTTGAACCCTGGACAGGAATATCTCTCTTAGGTTGCTGCGCACTGCGTCATCCACTGACCTTTGACCTTGGCAAGTTGACGAGCGTAAGAGTTATATCAATCATGTGACTTTTTTGTCCGCTTTTTTGACCCATCTCACCTATTTGTGCCTGCAGGATCGAGCTCTACATATATATATATATATATATATATATATATATATATATATATATATATATATATATATATATATATATATCATTAATTCGCTCAAATCAAAAGAGATTTCTGGCTTGACATGATTAATTGCACTTGTAAATTCTCGCGATTTTGCTGGATATAGAAAAATTAATTACCCAAAAATGTCTTTAATGTGAGAGGGAGAAGCAATAAATCTCTGAGCGTCGCAAGGTTCACCGAGCCGCTGGTCTTATCCCTCCAGGTGGCCGGGAGAAACTTGGGCCCCAACTCTTAGAGTTGTTTGTGGAGTGGCGCGCACAGGCCGGCCGGCCCCAGCCCCCTTGTTGACGCTCGTCTCTAATGGCTCAGTCCTGGCGCCCAGAGGCTTGTTCGAGCTCGCGAACCACCAAGGTCATTTACATACGGCGCGCACACACACGCGCAAACACACACACACACACACACACACACACACACACACACACACACACACACACACACACACACACACACACACACACACACACACACACACACATACGGGGCCTCGTAGCCTGGTGGATAGCGCGCAGGACTCGTAATTCTATGGCGCGGGTTCGATTCCCGCACGAGGCAGAAACAAATGGGCAAAGTTTCTTTCACCCTAAGTGCCCCTGTTACCTAGCAGTAAATAGGTACCTGGGAGTTAGTCAGCTGTCACGGGCTGCTTCCTGGGGTGTGTGTGTGGTGTGTGGAAAAAAAAAAAAAAAGTAGTTAGTAAACAGTTGATTGACAGTTGAGAGGCGGGCCGAAAGAGCAAAAAGCTCAACCACCGTAAAAACACAACTAGTAAACACACACACACACACACACACACACACACACACACACACACACACACACACACACACACACACAAACACACACACACACACACACATCCATCTGGGAAAATGGAATGCACTTAACAGGTTGTGGAAGCAAATAATATTCACAATTTTAAAACTAGATATGATAGGGAAATAGGACCATAGTCATTGCTGTAAACAACCGATGGCTCGAAAGGCGGGATCCAAGAGTCAATGCTCGATCCTGCAGACACAATTAGGTGAGTACACACACACACACACACACACACACACACACACACACACACACACACACACACACACACACACACACGATGCCTCCTGTCACCCTTGGTAACGAGCGCCATCCATCTGTCTCAGCCTCCCCAGCTGCTCAAGACATTCGTCCTAACTGCCATGTCTCGACTCCCTCCAGCACATACCTGCAGACGAAGGAACATGTGCAACCATCACCAGGAGTTCTGCATATGTAGGGTTCTGCATATGTAGGGTTCTGCATATGTAGGGTTCTGCATATGTAGGGTTCTGCATATGTAGGGTTCTGTATATGTAGGGTTCTGCATATGTAGGGTTCTGCATATGTAGGGTTCTGCATATGTAGGGTTCTGCATATGTAGGGTTCTGCATATGTAGGGTTCTGTATATGTAGGGTTCTGCATATGTAGGGTTCTGCATATGTAGGGTTCTGCATATGTAGGGTTCTGCATATGTAGGGTTCTGTATATGTAGGGTTCTGTATATGTAGGGTTCTGTATATGTAGGGTTCTGCATATGTAGGGTTCTGCATATGTAGGGTTCTGCATATGTAGGGTTCTGCATATGTAGGGTTCTGCATATGTAGGGTTCTGCATATGTAGGACTCTGGCTTTCATTTGCAATTTTGCTCAGAAGGGCGAGTTCATTGGGCAGCGTCACTCATCCTGTGAATGAGCATTACGCCACAACACCATGTATAACACCTTTTAACAGAAAAAAACGGGTGAATTGTTCATCCTGTCACTTGAATTCTACACAGTTCAACGTAACTGTCTCAAGTGAACAGACTGTCATTATGTTTGTGTGAATAAATTCTTCGTTGCTATCTTTCTATTCCTCCTATATTTCAATTCACATATGTATACATATTATCGTCTGTCTTTGAACCAGTTTGTCAATATATCGGATTTTGTGGTAGTATCTATATATCTATACAAACTGTAGCTGTGTTTTCCACACAAAACTATAGGTATATGATCTATACAAAACTATACACACAGGATCTACATGTTGCACGAGAAAATTGTTGATGCTCGTTCATGATATGCCCGAAACGCTTTGCGTAATAGTGGCTTTAGGCATTGTATGTACTAGCTCTACCTATAAGTCAACCAATCTTTGTAAAAATTTATTGTATGTATGTACCTTACCTAAATAAACATTTTATTTTATTTTATTTTATAACTTGAGCTCCGGTGCTGTGAGCTGCACCAGACATCAGCCTCGACGGTGACATCCAGGTCGATACCAGCCACTCAACCTGGTGCCAAGGGGATGTCAATGTCATGGTGACTGACGTGAAGGTGACTGACAAGTGGGTGATTGACATGTAGGCTATTGACAAGGGGGTGCAGAGGAGTAAGGCAAATCGTGACTGGGAAACGAGTGACATGGTGACAATAGCCAAGAAAGTGATTGACAAGAAAGTGACTGACAATAGACTGATAAGAAGTCCGTAATTCACCGGACGGCCAACAGCCTGATGCTGGAAGCAATCGAGGAAACTTTTCGATTCCGCTTTTGACACGGGCGTCAGGAGGCCCGCAGACCCAGCGTCAGGAAGCCCGCAGACACAGCGTCAAGAGGACCGCAGACACAGCCTCAGAAGGACCGCAGACACAGCGTCAAGAGGACCGCAGACACAGCGTCAAGAAGCCCGCAGACACAGCGTCAAGAGGACCGCAGACACAGCCTCAGAAGGACCGCAGACACAGCGTCAAGAGGACCGCAGACACAGCGTCAAGAGGACCGCAGACACAGCGTCAAGAGAACCGCAGACACAGCGTCAGAAGGACCGCAGACACAGCGTCAAGAAGCCCGCAGACACAGCGTCAAGAGGACCGCAGACACAGCCTCAGAAGGACCGCAGACCCACACGGCCAGGGGTCATAGTAATGATTCATTTTATAAGCTGA